TTCTAGTGTTACACCTAGAAAGGTGACTCACACTTCTTGAAAGTCACTTCCTGTTAAATAACCTGTATCCTCCCCTCAGTGTATAGCAAGGTTCAAAAGCACTGGCCAAAGTGGCAGCATTGAGTAGTGAGCCTGCAGAATTTTAGGGGTACTGTAACCAATCACCCATGGTAAGTAGGAAGTAGCTCCCAGCAGAGCTGTATTGGTAGGTATTTACAACTGGCCCTCCAGTGCTAAGTGGGTGGAGGGATACCTGATTTATACCATTTTCCAATTTCTATGGTGAAATTTTAAGGATGACTTTGTAAAGTCAGAAGCATGAGGGCTGGGATATGGGGATGTAGCACAGTGGTAGAACCCCTCTTAAACATATTCAAAATCCTGGTTCAGTCCGCAAAGAAAAAGAAAGAAAGAAAGAAAGAAAGAAAGAAAGAAAGAAAGAAAGAAAGGAAGAAAGAAAAGGTAGAACTGAAAACAACAAAGATCTCAGGTCAAATGGAGAAATTCCACAAAAGGTAAAAATGATTAAAATCAGCTTTAGAAAAGTTAGCCTGTATAGCCCTATTTTTATTAAAGAAAGTAAATTCATAATTAAATCTGACTACATGAAAAAGTACAAGTCCAGATGGCTGTAATGGAGATGTGTATCACTTAGAGAAGAGACAATGCCAGTCTAGCACAAATGCCTTCAAAAATACAGGAAGGGATGCTTCTTACTTATTTTTTGAGGCTAGCATTATCCTGTTACCAAAATTAGATGAAGACCTCATAAAAAATAATAGATCAGTATACTTTATGATAGAGCTAAAAAATCTTAACAAAATATCAGCAAATTGAATATAGCAACATACATATATAAATTATAGTACTTTTTTTTTGGTCTTTTTGAGATGTGGTCTTACTATGCAGTTCAAGCTGGCCTTGAGCTCACTTTGTAGCCCAGGCTGGTCTCAAATTGTAGCCCAGGCTGGTCTCAAATCACAATCCTTCTGTCTCAGCTTCCCAAGTGCTAGGATTACAGGTGTGCACTACCACACCTGGCTAAATTATAATATTCAGTGATCAAGAATAAAAGATTGCCAGGCATGGTGGCACATGTCTATAATCCGAGCACTCTGGAGGCTGAGCCAGGAGAATCACCATGAGTTAGAAGCCAGGCTGGGCTGCATAGTGAAATGAAAGATCAATTTAACATTTAAAATGGATATAATTCATCATTTTTTTTTTACCTTTTTGGGACAGGGTTTCACTGTGCAATCAGTGCTGGCCTTGAACTTATTTTTTAGCTCAGGCTGGCCTCAAACTAATGGTGGTCCTCCTGCCTCACCTTCCTTACGCTGGAATTACAGTTGTGTGCCATTACATCCAGCTACATCACCATATTAACAGAGCTATTAAATGTATAGAACAGCTATATTATCATCTCAAGGTATACAACAGACTAAAAAACTAAGCACCCTCATGACAAATATGTTTGCAGATAGACATGACACCTAAGTAAATTAGGAGTGAAAGAAATCTTCCTTCACTTGATAAGGGGCATTGGAGCAGATCTGCAGCTAACACCAAGCTTGAACAGAAAGAGTGAGCAGTTTTCTAGGGGAAGGAAGAAGGCAAGGAAATTACTGTATATCACTTCTTTCAAGGCCCCAGGTAGCACAATTTAAAAGGAAAAGAAAGAAGTAAAAGGAACACAGATTTTAAAAGGAGAAGCACTGTTTTTGTTTACAGACTTTGTAGGTATAAAAATCCAAAATAGCTACTAGAACTACTAAGTGAATTTATTAATGGTATAAAAGACAATGTCAATATGTAAAAAACCTGTTATATTTTATAAATTGCAAACCAAAAATGAAAAACGTGATACCATGCACATTAGTATCATAATACATGAAATATTAAGGGAGAGACTCAATAAAATGTATGCAGAATCTATACATTAAACTATAGTCATTGTTAGGAAAAATTAAAGAATCTCTAAATAAATACATAAATATAACCTATTCATGAATTGAAACATGAAATATGGTGAAGAGGTTAATTCTCCCCAGGCATAATGAAAATTCTAGGAAGATATTTCTAGAAGGTAACAAACTGAGATACTAATAGTTAAACAGAAATGCAAAAGATTTAAAATAGTGCATTTTGAAGGGAAGAACAGATATAGTGTGAGCCTGTGGTAAGTAGAATTGTAATGTAGCCCCCAAGATTCTGCCCCCTGCTGTCCAGGCCTGAGTGCAGGAGTGGGCTGTGAGTCTGATGGAATCCCTCTCTTATGATTAGGTAGCAAAGGTGAACGGATTTCCACCAGTGGTTCCCCCTAGGGCTGGAGTGGTTTGTTGTGGACACATAGGCTACAAGTCAAACTGAGGTCCTCATCCTACAGATACAGATGTGTCTCCATCACCTTTCAAGTCAAAGCAAACACACATTTCCTGCAAGCCCACTTTCAGGTCAGACCACAAGAGAAGGCCCCAAAGGCCCTGCAGCATCCCTTTGTGCATTTGGGTAGGCAGTTCCGGAGTGAGGGTCACATGGATGTGGTCTAGGAGGAGGAGTGCAGGATCTGGGTAGGTGAGCCACTGGGCCTGGGATCTCTTCACAGGGAAGCCTTAAGCCTCCGAAGGCCAGGGGTCACAAACCAGTGCCACAAACTAGATGGCTGCATGTGACTGACCTAAGGAACATATTAGAATGTAGAATGAGAGCACAGCAGGGGGAGGCCTGTGGGTCTGCATATCTAACAAACGCGTAGGTGACTTGGAACCACACTGAGTAATCAGATATCCGTGGGGCAGTTCTTCTGTGGGACCCTGACTACTTTCCTAGCATTGAGGCCACTAATCATTATTCATCTGGTTGGTGTATGTAGAATTGTCAACCCTGTACAACAAGAAATAAGTGAAAACAGGGAAGATGATCTTTAACTGACCTCGTGATGTCACTAGTGGGTTTATATGTGGTATTTCATGTAATTAACTGGCAGTGCCCCTCCCTAAGTAACACCTCCAAAGTGCTGCTCCTATAAGACCTTCTTCCCGATCTTACAACCTCCTCATTTCAGATCTTCTGCCTTCCCAATTACCAGGCCCCAACACTAGGGCAGCCCCAAGATGGATCCTCTTCCTAAATCCCCATTTTCAAGACCTGGAAAATAGTTAGATTGGTTCTTCTACAAAATCACGATCATTAGTCATTCCCTATCTTTCTTACCCATTTATTCTGACTTCTAGCCACTCAAAATATTGTCCAGATCTCCTGTTTTGTAAAATCATACCGATCTCCAGATGCCGTCTTCCAAGTCTCTCTGCTCACCTCACAGCCAGTGTCATGTGTAGGACCCTCACTCCGCCGTCTCTGATGCCTCTGCTCCCACCTTTATTGCTTGAAGTCTGGACTGTAATTCACCAAACTATCCTGACTGCCAGTTTGAAGCACATTCAGAGGAAAAAAAATGATATGCTTTTTACTAACGTTGTGTCTCTATATGTAAAAACCCAATGTTTTAATTTTCCTTAGCAAATTCTTCAAAAAATAGAAATGAAGTAAGTGCGTTGTAGATTCCCTCTACAGAATCATCCAAATTAGTGGGATGAAAATTAATAAAGCAGTAGTTTCCACTGCATTTATTTGTGAAAACTTATATATAAACCGATGAAAAGTAACAGTAGTTAACTTTAAAACATAGATCTTTTTTCTTTTTTGTCTTGGGGTTGGGAATTTATAAACTGAGAGTGAAAATAGTTAACCCAAGAGCAAAATAAATAACTGAAATCCCAATCTGATATTAAGGCAGTACATATAATTTATAGTTGCCATATTGTAACAATCATCCATTGTGTTTTATAAAGTAAATATTTATAATATCCTAGGTATTTTTTAAGGTTTTAAGGATGATTTCTATCCCACCCCCACCCAGGTCAAGATTACCCATGTCATAACTGACACAGAAAAGAAGTTTGAAACTCTTTTACTAATCTTGAGTTAGAGTATAAGTGTCTTTTAAAAAGTGGGCTTAAAATATTTATTATTTATATGAGTAGAATGTGGAGCACAGATTATTTATGAAAATGGAATAAGATTATTTTTGTGTAATATTTGTGTTGCATTTTTTATTCTATAGTTTTTATTTTGAGAGATCACTTGATAGGTGCTGTAATGACCATATAATGCTTCCCTTTTTCCTATTTTTTAATACATTTACATAGGCATCTACTTTTTCTGTAAATTCTATGCTAAAAGTTAAAACCATTTCTATTTTATTTGAACTGCTTTTATCACCATTAGTTCAAAAAACATTAAAATAATAAATCAAGTACTCTGCTCTCTTTCTATGATTATGTTTCTAGTGGGCCAAAACAAACCTCTGGAACTCAGAGATGAACTTCTAAGTTATTCCAAGAGAATTGGGAGGCATCTTTTATCTACCATATTCCCCGCTTCTCAGTACAGTGAAAGCCCCTGCTGAGGTTGTATAAATTAATACATTTGCTGGAGATGTGACTTTGGGACATTTTATAAGCAGTGGTTTCAGTGCTGTTAGTAGTAAAGTGGAAACTTGAGAAAGTGAAGATTAATTTAAACCACATGATGGGATCGAGGGAAAGGGACAAACTCTACAGCTTCTTGAGTGTGTGCTGACTCTGTACAGTGGGGAATGGAACCCGAAAAAAAGCCACCAGTGAACTTTTAAACCCTCTTGAGAGGAATCAAACCGGCACAAGCTACACTGAAATGATGCTATTTCCCCCAGGAGACCTCTTCAGTCTCTCTCATGACAGAACTCTCTGCAGAGAAGACACAGTTGGGAAGCCAAAGAGATAGGAGGCACCAACTGTGGCCGCTGAGGGAGGAAGATGGAACCAGCTTCCCATCATTAGCTAGCTGACTGCTTCATCTTTGAGCATAGCTTCTAGATTTTGTTGAGTTCTTTTAACCAACCAAGTGTATGTTGTAGATCACTGATGAACTGGAACTAAAAGATCTCTTTTCCTTTGCAGTTCGTTGTAGCTGTGTTCTGGATCATCTACGCTTATGACAGAGAGATGATATACCCGAAGTTGCTTGATAATTTTATCCCAGGATGGTTAAATCATGGAATGGTGAGTGGATTAAACAGTTGGCTTCCTTTTATTAAATAAAACTTATGGACTGTTTAAACTGGATAGCATGTGCTTAAATACCTGTCAAATCTTGAACGATTATAATGAGAAATGATTTCAAGAGAACAATACTGAATGTAAACAGATTTGTTCCTATGGATCAAGTCATTAACTAAACTGAATGGTAAATGAATCCACAGTTGAAGAGAGGAGTCAATGGTGTTAGATACTACAACCAGCTCATTGTGGGCTGAATGTGATTTCTATGCCTTTGGAAGCCTTGTTCTTAAAGTCGAAGGATTATTTCCACTCACACACCATCGGCACTCTGCTTTAACTCCATGTCCTATCAGAGGGACTATGTTAGAACCAATCATTTTGCTTGGACTGTTTCCCCCAGGTGAGCAAGAAGAAGGCTGTTACTTCCCTCAGTGATCTGTCACAAGCATTTGGAGGCATTGTTAGCAATGGACTCGATTGCTTTGTCAAGTTCAGCTTTTCCTGGGTGTTTGCTGAGAGTCTTTCCTTCTTGGTCTAATTCTTTTTGATACTTGAGTTACGGTGTTATTGTCACTAGTTTTGAATCAAGCCTTTCAGATAGGTTGCACATTACTTTGCAAGACTCGAACACATCTTTCCTGCAGAAAATATTGTGTCATCTTTTCTTCTAGCGTCTGGAATCAAGCCCTATTTTGTTATCAAGAAGACTGCATTTTGGTAATAGCAATTTTTAGACTACATCCCAGGGTGTTTCTTTTGAAAAGGGCAACACATCACAAAAATTACAGGGGAAGGAAGAACTAGAAATCACGTCTTAGGTCGAAAATAACAATTTTTCCTTCTGCTCCCATTTTGGTACAAGAAAATCAGTATATACTGACAAGCAAACATTACTGTGCCGAACAGTTTTGATCCAGCCTGTTCCTTTCTCCAGCCAAGCCATCAAAAGTGGCACATCTTAGGGAACTGGAATTTTCCTTGAGTTTGATTGCAGCTGCATCCTTGGAGGATGAACATGGTGCCTTGGCTCTGCCTTAAAATAAATAAGCTGGGTCTTGTTGGTTCACCTTCGCCACCAAGGGTCTCACATGGGTACTCTTCTTTCCAGCTTTTGACTTTTCTTGAAGGGGATGGGAAAGCCTCTTCATAACTCCATGCCCTTACAGTCTTCTGCTCTAGGTGCCCTTCTCATTCTTTCCTGACAAATTTCTGCTCATCCTGTGGCTTAATTATTATCTTCTTTATGAAATCTTTTCTGACTTGTCAAGCAAGGTCATCTATTGCACCATTTGTGTTGCATGCCACTTTCCTTTATCTGTTATGTATGTCTGTGTCCCTGTGAAAACGTTAAGTGCCTTTAAATCATGGCATTTGGTTAAATCACTATGTACTTACTAAAATGATGAATGAATTCGTTATAGACAGTTTTTGTAAGTGTTTGCTACTTGATACTTGTCTTAGTTACTTTTACTCCTTTTTACTCCTCGCTGAGACAAATACCTGAAGCCCAAAGTTGGGAAAGGAAAGGTTTATTTCTTACAGTTTTTGGAGGTTTCAGTCCACACTCGGTTGGCTCCAAGGCAGGCAGGCATGGCTGGGCTCCAGTTCATGGAGGCTGCCAACAGCAAACTGGAACCAGCAAAGAGCAAGACACACCTTCTTCCTGCCATTACATCACATCCTGGCTCCACCCCTATGTGGGTGGAGGACTGACACCATCCATCCAAGCACTAGACAATGAACAACTAACAAATGCACAATTTAAACTCCTGAGGTCTGGGGGACACAGACATAAACCATGACAATACTCCTAGCTGTACTTTCAGACTCACCATGTACCAGGGTTTTTATACTGGTTGTACATTTAGTTTTCAGAATAACACCATAAACAAGGAATTGCTATCTCATTTACAAGTGAAGAAACTGAGACTCAAATAAGTCACCTAATTTGCCCCAAATCATTTAGAGTAGTAGAAATGAGATTTGAACCTACACCTACCTGGGTTCAAAGGTGGACACTTTGTACCAATGTTTTACCTGAGCAAGAGATTAATTGGTTTTTAGAAAATGTTGTTTTTGTGTAGCTTTTGTAACTATAGTGCAGAAAATACAGTGGTAACCTCTTCAGGATATTTTGAAGTTTACTTTTGAAGTTTACTTTTAAACTATGTAGCAAAGATAAGCCAATTGACAATTCCATAGGGGTTTTAAGGAAGGCATTTCAGAGAGTTCATGACTTCCTAGAGCAAAATTCCAAGCAGAAATGTGCTTTGGGAATCTCCACTCCAGACATTAAACTGGAAAACCTGTCACATGCTCTGAGAGGAACTGGAGGGCTCTGGTACAAAGTAGGCACATTCTTATGCAAATAGTAATCAACTTTCATGACATGCAGAAATAAGAAACGTAATATAATTTTGATAAATTTTCATTTGGTGTTCAAACTGAATAAAGCAGGAAAAGGAGGCTTCTGAAGCTGCTGCTTGCCATCCAGTGTGAAAGCACGTGTTTCCTGTTTCTGGCAGTAGGGCCTCTGTAAGAGCTGTTTTATCGTGCTCTGGAAATGCACACCTGGACTCTTTGGCCTGTTGCTTACTCCTTTCTCTGCACAGTTTACATTCAAGCCAGAGAATGAGTCAAATTGACGGCAGGTTCTTGTACTAAAACTTTAATGTTTCAAACAAATAGCATAAGCACGTGTACAGTCATTAGAATTTAGGCTTGACTATCCGTTTTCTCTTGAGTCGCTTTAATAGGGAGATCTGTTTCAAATGGATGGGGGAATAATTGGTTAAAGTTCTTACTCTTGGTGATGAGCACTGCTTGGAAACATAAGGAAGAATTGAGTGATACAAATATTTAGGAAAGAAAACGGATACATTAATTAACATGTCAAACCCTTGGAGATATATGAGCTCAGTAGATTCTTTTGCAATGAATTTTGTTTCCTAGCATAAATGAATGACTGTTTCTTTGCTTTGCTTCACGTTCCCATTCATAGCTTCAGAATCACTGACAAAAGAAGCTGCACATGGTGCCAAGGAATACCTTACAGTGCTCTAATTCTGTGTAGCTGTTAGTGTAAACACGACTTGTATAAAGCATGATACTAACTCTACATTGACAATTAATATATAACATCACATGGTGAAATCATGACTAGTATATCATAAAACTTAGGAAATTTTAAAAATTTAAATCAGTTTTTTCAGTTGCTTAAATTTTAAAGGCTTAATAATTATTAATGTTAATTTATATTTATTTTGATTTCTAATGAATAATTTGAAAATAGCATTTTTAATGTATGAAAATGAGTTGGCTAAAAGTTTTACATTTACTTTATTTGATTGAAACATTCAATTGTGTTCACTTTATTTATAAGTACATTTTATTTTCAAATGATCATTTATATTAATATCTAGAGATCAAATTTTGTGAAAATTTATATTGTATCATAATCAGTGATTTTGCTAAAATGAAGGCAAGAAAAATTGAAATATATTATACCTTGTTAATTTTGGTATTTATATTTGTAATTTATAAATATGTATTTTATTACTCATTTAATCACAGAATTGATTGAGTCACAGATTTTTCTTTTATGGAAACACGGGTGATGATGTAGGAGGATGGGACATATTTTATTTTGTACTTTATTAGCTTAGTTTGTAACTTCTCAGTATTTCTGCAAACGGTTAAGACTCTCTAGGGCTGTGTGCTTAGAGTGTACACAGGGGAGCTTGTCAGTTTGTTGGAGTCTTTAAACATCACACTAACACAGCTGTGGAAATCCTACCAAGAGACATATGTGCAATTAATGGATTTATAGTCACGGTTCCTAGAGAGAGATTTGAGTTCAGTCATTTCTGTTGATTTCAACCACTGATGGTCCATGCATGACTGCCTCATCCAGTGGCTTGTTCACCTTCTCAGACAGTGTTCAGTCACAATATTGTGAAGAAAAGCACTGATTTAGCAAATCAAATGCCATCATATTATATTTCCTTGAAGAAAGCAATAAAATTGTCTAAAAATTGTTAATACAGCTAATTTGTGGTACAGCAATTAAAAATGCATATTATATACCCCAGAATGGCATACTTGTAGGCTTTCCATGTTAAAATTTAGAGAATTAGTTGTAGCCAAGTTCAAATGCTTTTAATTTAGTGAAATAAAGTTGTTAATTCTTGTAGTTTTAAAAATTGGCATGAATTGTATTAATGTATATGTTTGAGCAGTGATTATTCAAAATCAAGCAACTAACTAGGTTTGGTCTATTTCTAGACCTTTTATTAATTTTACTAGTCAAAGACTGCGTTTAGGTCCCATTTCACATGGGGACAGAAGTGGCAGGTAACAGGAAAGCGGTGGGTGCAGCAAGCTCCTGCAGGCTGTTTTCCCTCTGCTGAAGATAAACACCGTTATCACTGGTTTCTGGGCTGCAGTCCTAGAGCCCTGGGCCTTTCTCTCCTGCTGATTATAATCTGAAAACATTGTCAATTGAGTAAATACACTTTAAAAGCAATAAATAAATAAATATTTAAACTCTAGAAAGAGGGTAATTGAGTAATGCTGTAACACACACAAAAGCCAATGGTAAGACGGTACCAAAGACCTAATTATTAATGTTAGAAAGTGCAGTGAGAATACAAAGCACTGCAGAAGGTTTGGAGATTATTATTATCATCACACATCTTAAAGCAGACAAGATCTTGATATCCTTGAAACCACAGCAGGAGTTGTTCATGCTCTGTGTAATTTACAGGGAGTAGAAAATAATAAAGCCCGCCTCTCTTCTTGCTTGATTTGTTAGTTGTTCTTGTTCTCTGTAACCAATGCTCAAGAGCATCTTAATTTAGGCAACTATTCTGTTCGATATTATTTCAACATTGGGTGATTATGAAAGATTTTATGCATCTGTCTTTCCCTGGAGATAAGGCATTAAATGCTACTTGGATGATATGGGTCTCGCAGGATCTCCGCTCTGATGTTATTTTTTG